ATAGGAGAGCTCCTCAAAAAGAGTAGAATGCTAGGTTTTAATCCTAATGCAACGTACCCAAGATAGTAATAATATTTACAGGGTTATAGAAAACGGTTAAAAAAGTTTTTCAGTGATTCAGGCAAAAGAAATCGTTCGAAGCCTTGGAAAATGGAGCGCACTCAATGAAATGCTTTCAAGGTCTTGAATATACTATTCCATTAAGGCTAAAAAACCAAAGACTTTATAACTGCGAATGAATGACGTCGACTATTATTCAAGTCCAAGTTTCAGCAGATTTTTGATACTGCAGAAATGTTCAAAAGTTCACTCTGATTTATATCATGCCCACTGTTATCTTTACAGTGAATCGTTATGGTACACTCAATATCCCTCCTCTTGCATGCAATATTGAAACCATCCACCTATGCAATGCAACCAAAGGATAGATATGTGTTTTATTAAATATGAGGAGCTGAAAGGATTGTCTCTTTTAGTCGACTCTTTTTGAGATCTAGCTCAAAATTCAATATAATCTGATAGAATATTTTAAGCGTTTCATAGCTCTGGTATGGCATCCTTTGTGCTAGACGTGCATTTCGGTGTAATCTCGGACACCTCATCAGTAGCATCTTACCTTCAGTTCAGCTAAGGATAGCGAAGCCGAAGATGTATCACTGCAGGTCAAGTGAAAATATCACTTGATATTGCGGTTTACAGCGATTATCAATTGACCTACGCAAGGATGGTAAATATCTATACTGAATATTAAGCGAGATCTTGAATAGTCGATTAGAAGGGTATTGTTAATGCGTTTCTACCAGCCATGAGCAATAAACTGAAAATCAGTGTAGACCGCAATATCAATTAATTTTTTCACTTGAGGTACAGTGATCCATCTTCGAAGCCGCTACCCTTAGTTATGGGTGCGAACTGAAAGTCATGTACTACTGAGGTGTGCGATAATACATGAAAATGTCGCCTAGCACAAGAGGTGCCATACTATATTGTGAAAGGCTTAGAATATTCCCAATAATGTACAGTGGTATGCAAAACATTTGGTCAAAATGGGATTCGAATCCACATTTCATCCTGTCCAAGGCGCGTGCTGAACCGTTGCATCACCGGATAGGGTGCAACGTTGGTTCAAATCCCACTTGATGCAAATGTCTTTGCATACCATTCACATTATTGCGTATATTGTAACATCATACCACCGCAAGAGGCGGTCAAATAAAAATAAATTCTGACTGATCATTGAAATATTTTATCAGGATAGATTAAGCGTTATGCTGCGTGAAATAGCAGAGCACTAAATTTTCTTCTCAAAGTCTCAGTCCCTCTCCATTCAAGTAACCGCCAAACTTGCCTTGATAGATGCGTCATACAGCCGACTTAATTAAACATTTTTAGAGGTGGTTGAATGGAGATCTACCGCGCAAATAACTAAGCAAGACCATGCAATTGTTGAGCCGCCAGTGCTCTCTTTTCTGACAAATTTTATTATCAATTTGCCCAATGACGGCCCAGGAGTCCAATGAGACGAGGAATGAACAGTACTCGAAAGAGTGGGATTTGAGAGAAAATTGCGTTCTATTGCGAAGAAAAAAAAAATAGATTTGTGTCGCTGGAGAAGTGGCAAATGGATATTGAGATATGATTTATACTAGTTGCGGTGTTCTTGGTAATACCATCTTCGCTTCTCATTGCCATACTTTCCAGAGATTAGCAAAGCATAGCTTGATCCATAAAAGTTAAAAGTGTAGATTTGAAGCATATATAACTTTGAATTTCAACCTTATCAATGCCGTTTGTTCCTTGCTCGCCATAAATTATTCACAACTGCTATTCTCTTATGGGTGAGAAAAGTTACAATACCAAAGAGGAATTAACTCACATTTTGTAACAACTCAAAAATCGACTTTTATTCACGTCAGCATGTTAGTAATATATTATCAAATTGAGAGAAAGGCAAAAATAGCTTGAGAGCTAATCCTTATTTTGAGCTTTTGCTAGGTTAGCACCTCTTATCCGATCAATTGTTCTTCTTGACTATCGATAGATTTTCTCGAGTACTAGTAGTCGACGTTTCGGCGCATACGCCTTCCTGAAAGCCCAACCGTATTATTGTAGCGCTATTCATATAATTGTGCAGAATCCTATGTTGAAATTGAAAAAAATTATACGTTCAGGCGCTGAAGAAGGCGTACGCGCCGAAGCTACAGCCACCAATATTCAGGAAGATCCATCGTTAGTCAAGAAGAACAATTGCTGGAATAAGAAATACCAAGCTCGCGAAACCTCAAATAAAAATTGATTGCTAAGCTATTCTTATCTTTCTCCCAGTCTCATATAATACTTTTAACTCAGCCATGTTGTTATACCAGGATTCTTGAAAGGATAAAGCACATCGAATAGATTAAAACAATGAATCCCAACTTTCGGACGAGTCGTTGTCATCGTCAGTCACTCGTCAGTCTACCTATTGCGCATCTCAAAATCGGTTATGATTGAGACATCGATGCGACTAATTAATTATCTGGTGATTTTGAAGTATTTTGAAAATAGGAAACCTCTTCACTAGTCACAGAGGCTGACGACTGCCATCGAAAAGATATGAGGAAAAGAAAAACATTCTAGCAAGCTAGAATAGGGTTCACCACAATAAGGCGCATGACCATTTTTCAACATGCCATAGAGAAAGAAGATAAGAGAAAATCCTCAAGTTGCAGCCAAATAATCACACAAAATCGACCACCTTCCGTATCATAGTTACAAAATAGCGATTCTCATGCAGGAAACAATATAGAATGCGACTTGTAAGTTCATATTTCAGTTATCTATTGAGTGTACTGAGCAGAAAAGAAAAGAAATTGATTCCTGGACAAATGAATGCAAAGTTCTTTATATTCGTCTGCTTATCTAATAATACGGCTGGAATGAAGTTCTGGGGTTGTTTAATAAGAATAAGATAACTCTGATGCATATCATGGAAATATTACAATTTCATATAGGGGTTTTTCCCACTGAAGGTCTAAAGGGCATACATCTTTATTTCCACTTTCTTACAAGCCTCCGTCATGTCCAACGATACAATCGAAATTCGTGTTTTATTGCGCCATTATTGAAGAAAGGGTCTTTAGCAACAAACTGCAGTCGATGAAATCAGCGAAGTTGAAGGGTAAGGCACAACATGCAAATCTGCTGCTAAACACTGGTATTAACGCTTTAGTACCGAAGATCTCGACATCGAAGACAAACCTCGCTAAACATCAGATCTGAGTTGTTTGGTGAGGCTGAAGAAACATGTCAAGGGTTCTTTGATTCAGAGTCGAATGAATGGAATTACGACCAGATCCGAAACTTGGTGGACCGGTGGCAGAAAGTCATAGAAAATGATGGTCTTTAATTTGAAAAATAGTTTTCAGATAATGATTTTTGAGCCACGCATGTGGTCTGTTATACAAGGGTTGACTTGTAGAGCCCGAAACACGTGTTGCAACCTTGACGGTCTCGTCAGTCGGACGGTACCCTTTTCGTCTTTAGCCAATCCTCTCGGGACGCTCAGTCCCCTATACTATGAGTAGGCAACGACGAACATTTTACACTGTAAGTCCAGTGAAATTATCACTGAACAAACGTGTCGTACACTCGATTGCTCTTGGAAAGTATATTTGATATATCATATCTTTCGTTTCGAGCGTCTTTTTCAAGACCAGATAGTACAGAATAGTTATTTTTTTTTGTTTGGATTCATGCATAAATTTTCAATTTTTTATGAGTGCCGCACAACTTTATTTCTAACCTAACACCTCGAGTCACACGCAAAACTTATTTTGGTGCAGCTGTTTTACATTGAGACATCAGATACTCATAAATCTTTCAGCTTTGATCAATCTCTGAAAGTAAATCATTGCTGCTCATCTCCCAGACCAGTCTGGTAGCAATTCACCCACACCAGAGGGATGGAATCTTTGATGAAACTCAAGCACTTGGTCAGACCATCGGCCGCTTGTGGGAGACGCAAAGCACATCTAACTTCTGCGTCACATGCGCTCCTTAAGGATAATCACACCGATGAAAGTAATGCCAAACCAACGGTGAGAAACTCGAGGAGATAGGCTAGTGATGTTGACCCAGTAAACACGGTTTCTTGGTCAATAGAGTGACACGACATAACTCAGGAGATCAGGAACAATATTATAGACGTTTCAATTTACAATAGGTCATTGTGTGACTAGAGAGGAGAGGCTAGCTACATGATTATTGAGTAGGTGAAGGAGAAGACTATCAGCTTAAGAGCATTTTATGCAATAGAGGAGCAGGAAAATATAACGGAATAGGGTGACGTTACTAGTGCATGGAGCGTGCTTTGACCGGAGCGTCACTTAGGTATGTCATCTTAGCACGCCTAACCAGTATAGTTGACGATAGGATGAAAGTTCAAGGTCATAGTGCATTCAGTGTCATATCGTTTGCATAAAACGCAGTAACAACTAAGATGGAACACGTACGATATTACAGGGGAGTAGAGAATAATTTCTACGACTTGAAAAAGGTATAGAGAATATTCTCCAAGAGATGAGAAATGGTCCATGCCTATGTTACTTAATGGCATTCAGAAAAAAATTGCACGATCACCTGCCACGCTAATTAAAACTCGTCAACAGCCGAAAAAATAAAGATATGCACTTCTTAAGGTTATAAATTTCCAACATCTTTTATCTTTCTATAGCCACTCGAAAAATAGGAAAGTATCAGTGAAGAATGGTGTAGACACTCGGCGTATGACTAAGTCGCAGTGGCATTGTTGTGATGGCTGGTAACAGCATTGTACTTCATTGATCGTGGCCATGAAAGCTACATCGTTTAAATCGTCCACAGTTTTCTGATTTCTATAAAGCGAAAATCAGCGGACTCTTAAGCTATCCTGAACTAAGAATTCTTATGTTTTTACTGCTTTTCGCAGTGTTATGATGTTTCAAATGCACTTAAGAGAATTGAGTGGCGGACAAAAATCCAACTTCAGGCGGGAGTTGAACCTGCGTTTTGCCCATACTGGAAGCTCGTGCTACCACTACACCACCGAAGTCACCGTTTATCCACCACTCATTCTTCAAGATTTCTCTATTATAGCTATCAGCCAATAATCTCTAACAGATTTGGCCGGGCAAGTAATATCGCTTTATAAACCAGTTATGCTGAGTGCCATTGTACTTATATAAATCCAAGAACTCTTATGTTTTTACTGCATTTTCGCAGTATTATGATTTTTCGAATATATCTAAGAGATCTGAGTGGTGATCAAGAAATCTATCTTAGATGGGAGATAAACGCGCGTCGCTTAAATTCGTAGTTTTCTTGGGAGTACTTGAAACATCATAACACTGCGAAAAAGCAGTAAGAACATAAGAATTTTTGGATCTGTATAAGCACAATGGCTATCAATTTGGCTGGGTTTATAAAGCGATATTGGTTACCCGATCAAATCTGTTAAAGGCTGATGTCTGATAGCTGTGACAGAAGATCTTGAAGAATGGGTAGTGGATAAGCGATGGCCTCTGTGGTGTAGTGGTATCACACGCGCCCGGTACGGGTAGAACGCAGGTTCAATTACCGCCTGAGGTTGAAATTTTGCCCACCACTCAATTCTCTTAGGTATCCTAAACTATCATTACCGCTGCAGCAGTTCTTCATTTAGTGGAATTACTCAACTGCTTGCAATATACGTCACTCAGTATAACCCATGACATGTAAGGCTGACATGCAAAGCCCTTCTATAAACCCTCTGGAATACTCAGATAATCCCTTTCACTAATAGTGCAATCCTTGACAGTTTCCATTCGTTTCTGTCTCGCGCAAAAAAAAAAACGCAAATCCATGGTCTATTTCGAACATGCTGATACGCCCATAGCCTTTTTGGCCGTAGAATTTATTTCTAGTGCTTTTGGTAAAGCTAGAAACGTTCTTATGAGCAAGAAAATTGTTACGCTTTGTCACACTTGTACATGATTTGAGAAAATTAAGGGGACTGATACGAGATTCGAGGAGCATTTAAGGGATATGATTGCGATAAAGGAATATTATAGTAGTGCTTAGATTGTGGGACATATTTTCAAGTTTCTCATCACCGTGCGGTTGTTTCTGCTTTTTTTCACACTACGCTTACACCTTAAATGTTATATTCGTTTTGTTATCAAGTACTCTGGAGTAGCACTACTCTCGTACCCCATGTCAGTGCCATATTAATCACATCAGTCGTCACTTGCACAAGAAGAAAACCTAGAGGCAAGTGGCATTCTCTTTTTCAACTGTTAAGCACGGATAATTCATTACTCGGCAGGTATTTTCACTAGTAATTTTCGTGGAAGTTCTGAGAAAGAAACAATTAAAATTGCACATCTATCCTATGTGATTTTGCGTCGTGTTTTGTTTTCATTCGTTATGCACAGAAAAAAAGTTTGATAATCTTCAAAACAATATCGCTAAGTATTGAATTTCTCGAAAGAGATGAGTTTTCCACTTGCACATGAAATGACAGCTGTAGAATTCTTCCACTGTAGTCCACGTGCATCCTGTGGTAATTTTGAGGCAAAGCAACCAGTAAAGATCATTCTTACAAACCCTTGTTAGTAAAAGCCTAGCACACGTGTAATGCAAAAATATTTTGAGCACAAGTTATCCCCTTCAAACAGCATAGTGAGACGCATTTAGCACAGTGGTGTCGATCCCTGCTTCACACCGGTCTTTAGTTCGATTCCACACTCCGTGTCCATCAAGCTTTGCAGCTCTAACTCGATGAAGTGATACCAAATTTATTCAGTAGGATGGCAGTGCTGATTTTATGGATTGATTGACTACCACAAGTCATTTGAGAGCAGATATGTATTCATCCTCTAGCAGTTCTAATCAAGGCTAAATTCACCCAGTATCCTTTAGGAATTGATCAAAGGCGAAAGTTTTATCTTACATTTTTTGAAAATCATGGCGCTTGAGTAATTTACCGAGCTCGCCGATACTGATTGCATGGAGTAAAGCTGCTCAGGCTCCTGGAAAATTAGTAAAAGCTTATCTCATCCACCGCTTAAATATTTAATTTTTGTGGAACGACGAGAGAGATAGGATACGATCACAATCAAATCAGGCATAAAACGAATCATTGTGGCAAAGCATTAACGTTAAGGGAGTTGCGACAATAATGAGGTCGATGAAATACAGCGCTCAGAATTACGAGTTATTTCCACTGCCAGTCATGCTAACTGCATGTTACTTCAATGTACTGCTTAGCCTTGAACGGTTAAATTTGACTTATAGAGGAGATAAAAAAACAGCAAGTGTGGAATTTGCACTTGTTTTAATGCTCAGGTCATTACAAGGTAAATCAGTATCGATATTATTATTGAATGCGCTAGAAAATCTATGATTATACAGAGGTGGAAAATGTGTAGTCAAATGAAGATGGAGGCCTGCTTGAATCACTCCTAAATGTAGCCCTCGTTGAGCTCTACTGAATTCAGATGCTGTTGAAAAATCATTAATGCCGAGAAGAGAAAGTGGTTCAAAGGAACGAAATACGTCGAAAGACATCAAATCTATAATGTATTCAAAGACGAGGTCCACGGTACAGGACAGTTTAGAAAAAAAGGTTCGTTTTCCTTTCCTTTTGTAAAACTGCTCATGAAGTAATACTAAGTGTGGGTTTAACAATTTCGACGGAATCCAGTTGCATTTTGGTTACTGAGCTCACGCTAATTTGAAATATAAAGCGAACTGAACCGAATGATTTCAGAATTTTCAGCTACTAGCTGCGTGACACATTTGATACACTTTCACTTTACTTCAGTGATAGACTGTAATCAGTATCAGCATTTGCGAAAAGCAAAGGGGAAGCTATCACAGTACAGGAAAGGTGCATACCATTCCTAACCTATCTCTCCTCTTCAAGTGGACACTTGGACTCAGGTTTTACTAAGGGCCTTCAGTGGATCCGACAGGATCTTTTAGAGTCAGCTATGGACCTAGAAGCCCCTGTTAGCTGCCCACCGAGGAACTCTTTCGGCCTGCTGGGAGGACAAGGAAGAGAGGTCCTGTCTCAAGGGCAGAGTTTCCGACGGAAGAGCAGGAAGAGGAAGAGGACCACCCTCCAGAGGACAGCGGGACCAGGAGAACAGCGAGGAACATGATGAAGGTGACCATTTGCCGTCCCATTATACCTAAATTTGGTTGAATACTAGTTGCATCAGTATCACAATGGTGAGAAAAACGCAGTGGCTATACGGGCCGTTCAATACATCGCTGATCATTGGTTCGACTGGCCTCATCAAGCCTTTCAGCCCTTCAAGTTCCCAAATTGCTGCCAGGGAATAGCATCATTGATATGACATTGGGAAAGCTCGGAAATTGATGTATAAGCCATATATGCGTAAAAGCGCTCCCTAATCGATGCGTGATGGAGCCCACTGCATGGTGCTTCTTCAGAAATCGTTCGAAATCGATGGCTTTTCTCTCTTCATCAGCAATGACACAACAAAGCGTCGAGGTGTCTGGGCACAACCGTGATAAGACCCGTGGTATGATATTAGGTTAATGAAAAAGTTCTCTAAAACCCGCTGAAGATTCAAAGTCTACACATAGAGTAACTTAAAACATCAATAATTATTATTCTTCGAAACAAAGATCATCAATGTCAACAATCTTCTGCCAACGATCTATATGCCTCCGGATCTGTTCGAAATATCATTCATGGGGCTTTGAATCCAGAATTTCCCAACATGCTTCTTCAACTTGATTAAATGTTCGAATCAGCGTCCATGCAGGAAATGCCACACTGAGCGCAAAGCGGACCACAATCTAACGGCGCAGTATCTGGGCTGTAGGCTGGTGCGGCAAGACCTCGACTCCCTCCAAATCATCGAGCTTTTCCTTAGCCTTCTTTACGGTATGAGGTTTGGCGCTGTCTTGCTGAAACATCGCGCTTTTGGAGAATCATTACTGGGTACTTTGCTTTCAACACATCTTAGACTCTAGACTGTGTAATTAGCGGTATCGTAGGTGTTTCTAATGGGAATATATTTGAAATATTCCCATGAGTACAGAATACCCTATTAAGTGAAATAGACATAAAATTTGAATCCTTTAAGAGTGTTTAGAGAATTTTTCCTATCCTAGTATATCCCAAGGACACATTAATCACATTCCTAGTTGATCTTACCTCAGCAAACATATTGTATTTCAGGCTTATTCAATTGTTCGAATTTGAAGCTATTTATATGATCAATCAGAAATAATTTATATTTGACCGCCTATTGTGGCGTTACGATGTTATAATGATGATAGCATTTATATATCAAAAATTTTCATACTTCTAATGCTTTGATGTCTTCGCCTATTTCATAGTTACTATTAATTTAAGTCGATAATCAAAGCTTTTCGTTCAATCTGATGGTGAACCTGTTCAGATGAACTAATGGGTTGTCAGTAATTAACCAGAGATCAATTTGTTTGACCGCCACTTTCGGTGTTATAATGTATCAATATACTCATTAATGTAGAGTGGTGTGCATACGTTTACGTCAGCCAGGATTCGAACTCACAACACAAAATGGCGGTCAAATAAAGATGATTTCTGATTGATCATTGGTACCCAATATCTGTCAGCATAAGTGGGCTCAATGTTAATAGTAACTGCCCCGGAAGACCGTAAACGGTTAGCTGTTTACAGATAGAGCGTTGTAGCGTAGAAAGAGTGCTGTGCGAAACGAGTTTCGGTGTTGCAACGGTTTAGCACACGCTCCGGAAAGAGTGAGATCTGGGCTCGAATCTCGGCTGACGCAAACGTTTTTTGCACACCGAGGTCAATGTTTCCATCTCGTGCTCATGGCTCACCAAGCCATCCATCCCTCCGGGGTCGGTAAATTGGTACCAGACGGGTCTTAGACTTGTCTGGGAGGATAAGCAACACTGACCCGGCTCAGCGTCAGGCCACTCCGAGTCATTTTAGAGGTCAGATAAGCATTCAATCACCTCAATCACCTGTATCACCTGTCGTCCCGTTGATCGTCGAGTGACTCGAGCGGGTACCAGCAACTCTTCCATTTTTCCCTATCGCGTGCAAGAGAAGCCCAGTGGGTCCTCCTTGCTCTAGGAATTCGCTGAGCATCATATCTTTCTTCCATCGCTTTCGTGAAGAAATCGGACCAACGGGTCAGTGGTCTTCCTTTAGAGCGCTTGACGTCCCGAGGAATCCAGTCAGTAACGGCTCTCGTCCATCGGTTGTCGTTGAAACGCATCACGTGTCCGGCCCACCTTATTTTCGATATCCTGGCGTGTAGAACGGCGTCTCTGATTTTCGATCGTCGACGTAGGTCGGAAGTTCGGATCCTTTGTCTCATTTGCGAAATACGGGATACTCCTAGCATCGACCTTTCGACTGCGCGTTCGATAACGGCAAGTGATCTTTCATCCTGCTTACGTAGCGACCAGGTTTCTGCTGCATACGTTAGGGCAGGGATAATTGTCGAGTCGAAAAGGTGGGCACGGAGTCGGATGTTCTTTGTCCTCTTCACTACATCTTCGATGCTCTTAAACGTTCCCCAAGCCGCTCGTTTCCTCCTGCTCAACTCTGGGGC